GTAGGTATGCACCACTGTGCCCAGCAATATTACACCATTTGATACAAAAGACTTGAGTATCCTCTGATTTTGTGCCCATGGGGGTCCCATAAGCAATAATCCCCCTGATATAGAGGAACGACTATACACAGTGAATATGTACAWGGGGACATATACAGAGTTCTTTGCAGTGTTGTTTGGAAACATGTTTTAAATACAGCTTAGCAGGGAAATGGCTAAAAAACACCATATAAGCCTTCCTTCTCCACAGAATGAAAGCTCCACAGGGAAGGGGCAAGGCTGTATGGTCTGAGCACACACATAACCAGGAACCGGAACAATATCCAGTGAGAACTGAGCAAGTTACATCATGTGATGCACCACTTATGGAAAATTTAGTGCCTTACTTTTGCTGAGGCTGGCTTTGAACTCACAATCCTCCTGCTTCAGCCTCCCATTAAAGTTAATTGTATTTTGTARTAAAAATATAAAAGGATATACTGGAAAGCTACCCGCCGTATTAATGGGAGTGGCTGCCTCTGCGGCAGGAGCAAGATGAACTTCCAAATTACCTGTAGCTGGGTGCTATGGCACACACCTATAATCCCAGCAACTCAGGAGGCTGAGGCAGGAGGATTACAAGTTTCAGGCCAGCCTCAGCAATTTAGCAAGGTCCTAAGCAATTTAGCAAGACTATTTCAAAATTAAAAATAAAAAGGGCTAAGGGTATACCTCAGTGGTGGATCATCCCTGGGTTAAATCCCCAGTACCAAAAAATAAACAAAAACAAATAAACCTGTTTTATTTCTTTGTTGATTAACACTTCACACAAGAATGAAATGTTAACATTGATTAAACTTGGGTAGAAAGTATATGGCTATTTTTTTTTTGTCCTATCTAATTTTCAAACTAAAGAACAAAACCAGGAAATACAGAATATTATGAACTCTCCAAACATGAAGCTTCTCCAGGAAGTAAAATCCAAGCCAGTGGGCAGGAATTACAAGAAACTTTCAGCGAGTAGAAGGAAAAAGGGTCCATGGGCTTGAAGAGGGCAAGAACCAGGAAATAATGGCAAATAAACCCAATTCCCCCTAAGAGAGTGACGTGACAAATTCACCAATCCTTTTCCAACCAAGAGAGGGCCTGAGTTGGGTCAGCACTGACTTTTAAGATTCATAACCTCATAGAGGTGGCATCGCTGTAACTAGAAACCTCAAGCAGACTAGAGAGAGCTGAGGCCCCTGCTCCTTCCTGTGTATACTAGCCTCCTAACCACAGGCTCAGAAAGCAAGTTTGGAGGTCAGGTAAAGAGGTCAAAGGCCGGGAGGATGAGATCCAGAACCAGACAGACCAACCAGATAACAGACCCCCTCAGGCCCGGAGGAGGCAATGCAGCCTGCGGTGCAGTGGGCTTCAGGTTGGGGCCACCTCCGTGCTCCGCCCCCTACACATCTGACATGCAGGAACTGCCCCAGAGTCATTAAAGGACACAGATGGTGCTCTGCATCCATGGCCCGCCTCACCCTTGGTCAGCAAAATCAGAGGATAAAATAGGGAAAGGTTTGGAATCCTTACAACTAGTGGCGGGCAAGAGAAACTGTGCAGCAAGGAGCGCTTGCCAACCATGCACAAGGCCCTGGCTCCATCCGCGGCACCACAAACAACAAAACATTAAGAATCTGGACACTAGAATAAAATCATCTTCCACAGACTCAGGAGTTGATACATAAGCTTAGTCCTTGTCCCTGATGCTGCTCCAATAATGAGGACAAGGTTTGGAGAACAAGGAAGAAGGTAGTTCAGTGGGATTCTTTGCTAGAAACCTTTTCCTTTTTTTTTTTTTTCTGGTACTGGAGATTGAACCCAGGGGGTACTTTCCCCCCCAAGTTACATCCCAGTTCTTTTCTTTCAATTTTTTGAGTTAGGGTCTCACTAAATTGCTGAGGTTAGCCTCAAACTTGTGATCCTCCTGCCTCAGCCTCCTGAGTCATTGCAATTACAGGCATGCACCACCATGCCCAGAAGGAAGAGATCTTTTAAAGAGAGGAAAACTCCAAGTGTGCCCTGTGGGGGGTCATAATTCATTTATAGYCTTGAGAGATTGGCATTTTTTAGATCTGCAAGTGCCAACCCCAAAGTCTGGATTCCTTCATTCCTACTAAGGTGAGCAGACCAGATAACTCAACCTAGCYGGGAAGGTTAATCTTGTTACTCTCATGGTTAGGGAGGGGGGAGAGGAAGAAAAGGAAGGGAAAATACAACACATCAGTTTTAAAAAGAGCTGCCAGTCCAGTACCATTTTAAAACAAACTGCAAGGGTTATATTCAAGGCAAGAAGAGGACTCATTGCAGAGTGAGTTTGGGAAACAGGAGGTGGTGCCATTTCAACACAGCCAACTTTGTGACATCAAGGTGGCATTAGCTTAAGGGATGTGGCCATGCCAGATCACTGTGACCAGGGCAGGAATTGGGAACAAAAGCAAGGTTGGGTCAAAACACACGTTGAATCAATCTGTAGTTGGTGAGGAATGCATGGTGCATGAGCACCTGAGGCCAGAAGGCCACAGCCCAGCTCTAGAAGAGCTCACCAACAGGCAGAAGACATGGCTTCCCCAGCAGCCTCCTCCTAGCAAAAGCATTTGACTGAGTGGCCTCTAAGCTGAGGCATGGATGCCCCTGGAGGCAGGCAGCCTGGAGGGCCTGCAGAATTCAGCCAGGTGGTGAGGCAGGCAGTGAGGGTGGAGGCAGAAGCCCACAGTTTTCCAAGAGCATGGCAGGAACAAAAGGACATGCACAGCAATGTCCCAGGTGCCAGCCAGTGAATAGGAATAATTCCACTGTCCTGTTGTTATAGGGAGCTCGGTCAGGAGTGGCTGGGAGACTTGGTCACAGGCAGATGTTTTCCTCACTATTTGCATCTGGAATTACCTGGAGATAGCCCCGTAGCCCCTGCTAACCCCCAACTATGCTCAGGGAGCAGCTCACCCATACTCATAGGGCCAAAGTTGGCCTGCTGCAACCTGACCATATTCTGCTCCCCTGTGCCCCCTAGTGGAGCGTCACACACTTGCCCTTTATTGAGCCTCTTGAGGCCTAGGTTTCTGACATTAAAAACCAGGAGGCCACCGAGTCTGATTCTTTTGATAAATGTAGGAAAGGAAGGGATACCGGAGAAATTTTGTGATTTGTCCTGTATTTGAGTCAGGTAAAAGTAAACCCGAGCCTTCCTTACTGACCCCAGCTCAGCCTCTTCACCCTCTTCTGCTCCCCTCTCTATAGACACATTGGTCCTCAGATCTAGGGCAAGGACTCTTAGCCCTAAAAAAAAAAAAAAAAAACAAAAACAAAAACAAAAACTAGGCTGATAATACTGCAGCAAGAGCAAAGCACAGTTACTGATGGGATGTACAAGGAGTTTTGGAGAACTTTTTATTGTTTTAAAAATCATAATTGAAGTTTCAAAAAAACGAACAACCCAACACATGTTCCAACTCTAGGCCTAACTGCCTAGAAACTAGAGCACGGGGCTGTCCCTCCCCTCCGGCTGCCCACACCACTAGCCAGGACCCTGCCCTGGGGAGGCTGCTTGCCTGCCCTCCTCCCCACTGTGTGCTAAGTCACCACTGGAGAGGGGCCTGGGGTGAGGTAGGGGTGGCTGGCTCCCAGCACCCCTCACCCCCTGCACGTATGCAGCCTGTGAGCTGTGTATGGGAAAAAAGGGCCAGATCCCTGGGCAGGGGACCCCTTAGGGGGAAAGATAAAGAGCCAGTCCCCACTCACCCCCCCCACCCTGTCCCCCYCTCAAGGGAAACTGTCATCATCATCTTCTGCCATCTCTTTGGCAAACTCCAAGTCCTGCTGCTCTCGCTCACGCCGCTCCTGGGGAGAGATGGGTGAGGGCTGGTTGGGCTCCTTCCCTAAGTGCTTCACCCACAGCCAGGGACTGCCCAAGCTCAGAGCAGCTCCTGGCTCTCCACACACTTCCCTCCCCGCTTTCTGAATGGAGAGTCGACCTTTCGGTCTGGTCAAAAAAGAAGGAAGCTCACCTCTGCAGACTCCAAGTCCTTGTTGTATGATTTGGGAGGAAACCGCATGGCCTAGTAGAGCAGGAAGAAGAGCAGGATGAAGGCGGGGGAGGAACCACAGGGGAGGTGGTCACTTAACACACCCCTCCAAAGTTACCATAACAAGATCTGAACACCAGGGACCATCTCTACTTTAGCTGACGGGGGAGCTGGGTGCAACAATGAATTATTTTTATTTTATGCAATACTGGGAACTGAACCCAGGGATGCTCTACAACTGAGCTTCATCCCTGGMCCTTTTTAAAACATTTTCTTTTTTTAGGCACCAGTGATCAAACTCAGGGGCACCTGACCACTGAGCCACACCCCCCAGCCCTGTTTTGTATTTTATTTAGAGATAGGGTCTCACTGAGTTGCTTAGCTCCTCACTTGCTGAGGCTGGCTTTGAACCCTTGATCCTCCTCCCTCAGCCTCCTGGGCCACTGGGATTACAGGTATGCACCCCTGTGCCATTCTTAAAACATTTTTGATACAGGGTCTCACTAAGTTACCCAGGCTAACCTTGAACTTGGCATTCTCCTGCCTCAGCCTACCAAGTTTCTGGGATTACAAGTAGGTGTGGTAGTGCCCAGCACAGAAATAAATTATTATAATACCAGGTGGTAAATGCTTAAAACGGGAGATTGGAAGGATCTGGAGGGAAGGATTGCTGACCTGCTCCTTGGTAGATAGAAGAAAAGGGAGGAAGGAGGCACTGGTTATGGGAAAGGGACTAGGCCTTCTAGGTGGAGGGCTCACATGTGAAAAAGCCTGGCCTAAGCGATAGCACAAGTTGGGAGTGGAAGGAGTGGAAGAAGGGGAGGTGAGAAGGATCAGATCACAAAGGATCTTGCATGTCCCACTGACTGTGGCTTTGGCAGATTTTAAGCAAGGCAGTAATATCCCTGGTTTCCTGGGAGAAGATTGGAGAAAAGAACAATGGTAGACACAAAATAATAGCATCACACTCAATACCTGACAGAGGACAAGGGCTTATCACCCCTGTGGAACCCAGCCCTACATTTTATATGGTTTAGATTTGGCCACGTGCCTGAATTCACATGGTGATGTCATTTACTCAACAATGCTGCGAAGCAGGCAGGCAGGCAGTACCTAACCATTAGCTCAGAGAACACAGACCTAGAGCCCTGCAGCCAGCATCCCTGTCTRGTGCCCCGCAAGCAATCATATTCCTAAGGAGCAACAGAAGGCGGCAGAGTCCCACAGGCAAGTGGTTATGGAATCTTGTAGAGTCCTTCCCCCACTGCGCCTGTCTGCCCACTTCAGTGGCTTCAGAAGTAGGTGGCGATTGGGCCACAGCCAAGGGCTTCGCACCTTGACAGACATGTTGTGGATGTCCAGGCAGAAGGAGATGCGCTGGTGGAAGGCCAGCTGGGGTTCCCGGGTGGAGTAGATATCAGTCATCTCCTTAGACTGGACATAGCCCTTCTCGTGGTTGATGCTGGCTTCAATGACACCATCCCGGATGGCCTGCAAACCCCAAAAGAAGGAAAGGTTACCAGAATGCCTATCTGAGAACCTCTTTTCCCATCCTGTTGCCTGGTCATCCTTACACTCTCACAAAGTCACACCCACAATCTTTCTGGTAACTTCCTGGCTTCTCTGCAAATGACTGGCACTCCTGAAGAGACTGTGCCACTGCTTTACCTATTCCCTTCTGGCCAATCTCCTCCCACTTTGGCCCTGAAACAGGCAGGAAGGTGAGAACCTGGGATAGCACAGCTCCTGACCCAGCCCCACCTTGGCAACAATAAACTCTGCGTCTTCTGGGCTATCCAGCTGCAGCTTCTGAGCAATGTCGGCCAGGGAGATGCGGGAGTAGGAGAGGCTGATCATGCGCACACCTGGGGAGGAAGGTGCATTGGGGTGAGCAGGGTTGGTATGGACTCTGTCCCTTGGAAAAACCCTGCCAGAGACCTGGACCCATACCTGTCTTAATCACATTGTGTCGAAGTCGGATGATTAGGGTGTAGGTCCCATCTGCTTGAAACTTCTCCCCAAACTGATCCAGGACCTGGTTGAACTTTGCTAGATTTCCTGTCCTGACAGCTGCAGGGGGAACAGGCATGGGTTAGATAATGCAAATGGGCACATGCATCAGAGAGGCCAAAGAAGGGCTCTGGCAGGCTCTGGGAGGGGACTGGCCTTACCTTGGGTGAGAAGGAAGTAGGGCATGAGTGAGCGCTTGAGGGAGGGCTGACGGAACTGCAGCCGGTCCGGGATCTCCCCTAGCAACAGTTCCACCACAATCAGAAGCTTGTGCACCTGGACAGGGCATGACACAGGAGCACAGTGGGCAGGGAGTCCCACCATGGAAGAAGAAAATGAAATGGGGCTTCAATCAGTCAGACATACTAGGGGGCAGCCTTGAGATGAGGCTCCCTAGGAGGGGAAAATCCCAGAGGACCCATGCTGGGCAGAGAATCAAAGCTACATCTTTGCAGCCAGGTACTGAGAACAGCTGACCCTTGGGCCACACAGAGCCCTCAGCTTAGTTTCATCTGGRCAATCAGAGCACACACTGCTCTGCAAAGGCAACACTCTGAAGCAGACAGAGGACAGACAGGATAGGAGGCTGGGGAAGACTGTATCTTCTGGAGAGGCTGACGGGTGGACTGTTACTGGAGGAGAGGAGGGGGACAATGTGTAGAGCTACTTATCTAGCTGGAGGCAGAAGCACAGGGAGGGCCTGGCAGACCTCAGTGAGGGAGCAAGGGACAGACACAGAAGACTGGCTGGAAAATGGGGCYTCTCCGTCTCCATAGGATTGTGAGGTGTTTCTGAATGGCGCCCATTATAGGGTTAGCACCCTGGAAGGGAAACTATGGTGGAAGGGATTGCCAACCAAGCAGGAGGCACAGGGACACAGACAGCTAATGTCACAGGAGAGGTGAGGGTGAAAATGGTAGTGTGTGATTATGTTCACAGCTGGGCAAAGATTCTTCATCCCCCACATATACCCATGAGATTGCCCTGTTGCTTGGCATAATCCCTGTGAGAGGGGAAATCCATGGAAATGGTAGAATTTAGTGAGCGCCTTAAGGATTCTGACAAAGAGAAAAAGGAGGAAGCACATTTGAGCCAAGAAAGAAGATTAAAGAGGCGGGAAAAGTGCCTGGGAGCCCTCAGGAGAAATGTGCCACCTTGAATGTGAGGCTGAGCAGTTCAGAATGTGTACCTGGACATCTGAGGTCCAATTTTTAATTATGTGAGCCAGGAAGTGCTGATACACTAGTCCTTAGCTTCCTCATCCCTCAAAAGAACATAAGAATAACAGCACTTGGCCTGTCTGCCTCACGAAAGTGTTAGGACCTTCCACTGGGTGGATGATGGAGAGCAAGGGAGGCTTCCTGGGCAAAGGAAAGGCAGGCCTAAGCTTTGCTTAGTTAGCAACTGCATKGGAGCTGGCTTGCTAGAGAGGGGAAGAACATGACCAGTCCCAATGGTCCAGAATGCTAGGGGGAGGATCAGTGACTCAAAGAAGAGGGCTGGCAACATGAAAGTGCAGGCAAATACTGAAGAYGTGAGCCAACTCAGCAGTCAACTCAGTAAGGGGGAAAAGGAAGGGGAGGTCAGAGATGACCCCGAGGTTCCTTCTTGCAGAGTAGAAGGAAAGGCTATAAGGGCCAAAAGGAATATGTTAGGGACAGGCTGAGTTTGAAGAATCAGGGAGTGTCTACAGTGATGAGGGGGTTATAGTTCCAGGTCTGGTGTTCACAAGAGGGGTCAGAATTAATGTTTTGGGTTGATTTATATCCTTCCTCAAAATTAGATGCTGAAGACTACCCCCAGGACTTCAAAATGTGACCATATTTGGAGAAAAGGATAATTAAGGTAAAATGAGGTCACACAGATAAGCTGTAACCCAGTATGACTAGCATCCTTTTAAGGGAACAGGGCACAGAAACCCATTGAAGGAAGATCATGTGAGAATATGGGAAGATGGCTATCCACAAACAAAGGAGAGGGCCTCAGAAGAAGGCAACTGTGCTGACAGCCTGATCTTGCACTTCTGGTCTCTATAATTAGGACAAAATTAAATTCTGTTTAAGCTACCAAAGCTATGGTGCCTTGTGGCAGCCCAAGCAAACTCACATGGTTAGTAATGGACTTGAATGAAAATTAACAGAGGCGAGGGTTGAAGTTCTGAATGTGCAAGATTACTGGAGGAGAGAATGTGGATGTTACTAGAAGCAGGTAAGCTTTCAAGGTGTTCTGATGGGGACTGGGGAAATAAAAAGAAGCAGAGGGAAAGAAATGACAGACGAGGTGCTTGGCCAGTGGACTGCCAGTGAGGGGCCAGGACAGTGCGGGTGTGATTGCCTGAGGGGAAAKCAGCAGAACTTCTTTCCTGGGTAGACTTTAAGCGAACAGGTGTAAGGCCAAGGCTTTGGAATACAGGAAGGAACAGGATCAAGAATACAGTTGAGAAGCTATCTTTAGGTAAAAACAGGAGGGAAAGAATGAGTGAAGTAAGGGTATTTTATCAAGTAAGGACACAGTGAGACTTGGAAAAGAGCCACACCAGAACCCAACTGTGCTGGTTCTGTGATCTCAGACTGTTAGAGTCCAGAACTGGGAGAAATGAACTTCTATCTATTTTTTTTATGCACCATCCAGATTACGGTCCTTTATTTTAGTAGCCCAGGTGGATTAAGACACTGGGAGAACCCAAGGCAAGTCTTTAAAAGTGGAAAAGGAGGCAGAAAGGGAGGCAGAGTACAAGAAGAAAGCAGAGGTTGGAGTAATGCAATGTGACAAGGATTCAGTCCAYTGCTACTGGCTTTGAAGATGAAAGGAAACCACATGCCTAGGGATACCAGTGGTTTCCAGAAGCTGAAAAGAAAAAAAAAAATACATTCTTGCCTAGAGCCTCCACAGAGGAACATTAGCCCTGCCTACACCACTGAGCTACATTTCCAGTCTTTTATCTATTTATTTTTTTTATTTAAGACAGGGTCTCACAAAGGTGCTTAGGGGCTCAAAATGTTGCTGAGGCTGGCCTCAAACTCGTGATACTTCTGCCTCAGCCTTCCAAGTAGTTGGGATTATAGGTATGTGTCACCATGCTCAGCGAAGATAATAAATTTGGGTGTTTTCGGTGGGGTGGGGGAGAGGTAAGGAGAGACATCAGGTTTTGAGAGAAGGCAGTTGTGTTAACAGATGCTAAATGGCCTTCCTCTATCCCTGAAGGACATGAGCCAGAGCYACCCACCTACTCATAGTGTGGTCCATGTACCAACAGCATTGGCATCATCTGAGAGCCTATTAGAAATGCCCGCCTTCAATATGAACCCCAGGCGCCTCCCATGCAGTACACTGGGGTCTCAGGGTAAAGGGAAGGGCAGAGGGAAGCAGGCTCTCACACAAACATACAGACATCCCCTTTCATCTTCCCAGGCTTTCTCACACTGGCCAAAGATCTCACTCTAGCTCTCTGCTCCTTCCTGCCACTTGGCTCCACCACAGGACAAATGGAAACCTTATGCCTAGTTTGAAAATATTGCTTTGCCCCAAAAAGCCTTTCCCCTGGCACCAGACATTCTGTGTGTTCCTTATTTGTATTTTGTTGTTGTTGTTGTTTTCAGTACTAGGGATGGAATCCAGGGTCTTAAGCATGCTAGGCAAGTACTCTACCACTGCGCTACATTTTATTTTTTATATTTTTAAATTTTTTTAAATATTTTATTTTTTAGTTTTCCACGGACACAACATCTTTGTTTGTATGTGGTGCTGAGAATCGAACTCCGGCCGCACGCATGCCAGGCGAGCGCGCTACCGCTTGAGCCACATCCCCAGCCCCTTATTTTTTATTTTAACACAGGGTTTCAGTGAGTTGCTAAGGCTGGCTCAAACCTACAATCCTCCTGCCATAGTTTCACAAGCTGCTGGGATTACAGGCATGCACCCGGCTTCTTAAAAGACACTTTAGTGTGAYTTAGGTTTTAAGTAATCTAATCATTTGCTCACATGCCAATGTGTCTGGAAAATCATTTCTTTCTATGAAAATTCTATCCATCTCCCAAAAATCAGTTCAAATTTAAACTTTTTGATYTCTTTAATTATTAGACCAAAAATAAATTTGTCTTTCTCTGCCTTTATGAAGAGATACAAAAGGAATCTCCACTATACTGACCCAATCATTAAACATATCCTCCCTGTTCTCTGTTGGGCACTGAGGGTAGTATATGTCCTGGCAGAAGGCAGAAGTAAAGGTCTTCAGTAGGGGAAAACAAAGTCCAAATCCGAGCTACTGCTTTCTGAGACCTTATTCAGGCCTGCAAGCCTGAATCAACATTCTTTATTTCTTCAAAATGTTGTCCTTAAGAATGCCAATTCCTGTCCATCACAATGCCTAATACCAAAGTCAAAGCTCAAAACTTCCTTGGTGACCCACAGCTCTTAAGTGGCCAAGGTTTATCTCCACCTGAGCCCATCAGCTTCAAGGAAATTTCTGGGTTCCCTGGCCACAGACAGCACTGATCTCAGATGTGTGCTGAGGGACCAGATAAAATAGAGCCTGGGGCTTATCAACACAATCCATGCCCACACCTAGAATAACTGACAGGAGTGCTTGGGAATCAAGAATATTCTAAAACCTATCTCCCAAGGAGAATATTCTGAACACAAGCTGCTGGAGGCATGTTTACTGTGCTTTGAAAAATAATAGCCATAAATAGACAGCTGAAGCAACCTCTGGGATGACAAAGATTAAGGAAGCCTTTCCTGGCACCCTGGACATCAAAGYAAATTGAAGTGGTATCAGATGAGTTAGAGATGAAGGAATGATGGCAACTGCTACTTACTGTTTGTTTAAAGCCGACAGCTGTGTGCTGAGGGGCCTTKCGAAGGGCATTGGTCATCGTTCTCCGGGCCTCTGAGTACTCCAGCTGAATGGCTTTGATTCGTCCTGGAGTGGAGGAAAGAAGAATGGTCAGGAGAGTGGTGCCATCACGAGAGAGCACATGGACCAACCCTTAGAAATTTTGCATTAAGTGAGCCTGAGACCTCTTCTGATTTGTCATCAGGCCCCTCTACTCACCTGTGTAGTAGAGGTACCTGGCCCACTCATTGTTGTTGGCCTGCTCAGGAAATACGGACTTGGACACCAGCTTTTCAGCCTGGTCATACAAGCTGTAGTGTAGGTAATTCCGCAGCAGGAGGTTCAGCAGGGTGGCCTGCCCATCTGCATCATGCCGGAGGGTGGCTGTCCGGAGTCGGGCATGCAAGAAGCTTCAAGAAAGAAAGGATGTCAAAGGCCTCAAGCCACAACTCTCTGAACTGTCTTTGACTCTGCATTCTCTCGATTCCTAAAAATGTGATACAAACTGCTTTTCTGGGTACTCACTGAATATTCAACTCTAGACTGGCAGTTGTGTGAAGTGCCATGCTAGCTGCACAAAAAGAATAAAACCCTGCTCTTAGGGAACCTCATGGAGAGTCAATGCTCATGGCACTAAGTAGCATGACAGATGGTGGTGGCAGTGGTATGGGCTGAGAAGTAATCAGAGTAAGTGCAATGGGGACTGCAGGAAGCAAGGATGTGACTGTGATTTCAAATAGCTTGATCACTGCGAAGGTTACAATTAAGTGGAGGCTTGAAGAAGGCAGGGAAAGCCAAGAAGGAAAGCCTTCTTGGCAGAGGGGAGAGCCAGTGCAAAGGCTGAGGAAGAGTATGCCTGGCCTGCTCAAGGAAGGGCAGGAGGCTAATGGGGTTGAGGGTACCGAGTGTGCTGGGCAGAGCAGAAAGAGGTGAAGTCAAGGAGGTGGTAAGGGATAGGACATGTCAGCCTTATGAGCTAATGGGAGGATTTTGGTTTCTCTTTGAGAGAAATGGGGAGCCACTGTAGGTTTTGAGTAGAAGGGGAAAATATTTTGAGTTTTTCCTTTCATTCCTAACCTACTTCTCAGTCCTCCCTTGATGTGGGGGTGAAAAAAAAGAGTCAGAGGACAGTTCCTTCCTTCCCCACCTTTTTGGTATTCAGAATTGAACTCAGGGGTGTTTACCACTGAAGTACAACCACAGCCCTTTTTATTTTTTGAGACAGGGTCTCACTAAGTTGCTGAGGGCCTCACTGAATTGCTGAGGCTAACATTAAACTTTTGATCCTTTTACCTCACCCTCATGAGTCGCTGGGACTACAGGCACATGCCATCACACCCCGTGGGAAGACAGTTCTTAACAGTCCAGTGTTATCTCCATTCCTTTGTCCAAGATCACCCCTCCATACTCAGGGCATATAAACTGTTGTTCCCACTACCTGCTGGGTACTTTATACCCACCAGCTCATTGCTCTCTGCATGCCCATAGTTCCACAGTGATGATGAAGGGCTGCCAAGGGAGACCTGGCCATCTGTACCTGCGTACCACATCCAGCTTGTCCAGGAACTCATAGACCCTGGCATGATAATAGTAACATTTTGCAGCTACAAGGTCCAAGGCCCGGCGGTTCTGAGTACTTATCTTCTGCATGAGGTCATCAGAGATTTTCTGTGCCTGAGGAAGAAGCCAAAAGAATCAAGTGGCAGTTCTTCAAAAGGTTAAACATGGAGCTACCATATGAGCCAGTTGATTCCTCTCTTAGAGAACTTGAAGCATGTCCACAGAACAGCCTGTACAGAAATGTTCATAACCATACTATTCATAATAACAAAGTGGAAACAACCCAATGTTCCTTGGTGACTGAAGAATAGAACAACAAAATGTGGTATATTCATGTAATGGAATATTATTAAGTCGTATAAAGGAATGAAGAACTGATTGATGCACACTAGGTATGGATAAATCTATAAAACCTTATGCTAAGTGAAAGAAGCCAGATGCAAAGGCTTCTTTGCATATATTGTGATTCAGAGTAGGCAAATTTTCTATAGATACAGAAAGCAGATTAGTGGTTACTGGGGACTGGGGTGAGGGGAGGATGGGGGAATACCTGCTAACAGGTATGGTGTTTCTGGGGTGAAAAAAGTGTCCTGGAACTAGTGTTGACCACTGTGCAACCTTGTGAATATAATAAAAACCACTGAGCTGTACACATCAAAGGGGCGAATTTGATCTCAATAACAAACAAACAAAACAGGGATGAGGAAAGAAATAAACAAAATAAGGAGTTGAAGAGTAATACCTGTCATTTCTTAAGCAGCCTTCTGTGACAATGGCTATGACTGAGGAGGAAGCTGGCCCTAGCTGGGGTGGTGGTGGTAGAAGTGTGGTACAGACTGAATGTTCTTTACTAGAAATGCTTGGGACCAGAAGTATCTTGGATTTAGGATTCTTTTAAATTTTGGAATATTTGCATATACATAATGAGATATCTTGGGGATGGAACCCAAATCTAAACATGAAATTTASTCATGTTTCATAGGCACCTTACACACCTAGGGTATTTTATACAGTACTTTTTGTGCACGTCTGTTGACTAAGACCTGTCATATAAGGTCAGGGGTGGTATTTTCCTTTTATAGCACCATGTTGGTGCTCCAAAAATTTCAGATTTTGAAGCATCTGGATTAAGGATGCTTAACCTGTATCCAAAATGGAGTTCTTTAGTCCCATAAAAATAGCTGACATTTTTTTTTCTTTTTTTTTTGGTGGTGCTGGAGATTGAATCCAAGGACTTGTGCACGCTAGGCAAGCACTCTAAGCATGTTATTTAAAGCAATACTAGTGACAATTTTATAAAGTGCACAGTTATTCCCATTTTTACATATAGCTAGGAGAAATTAAATTTGCCTAAGATACAGTTAGGATTGGAACCCAGGTCTTTGTCTTCAAGCCTCCTACTCTTCCCAAAAGAATCCATTATACTGGTATCAAACCAAAGACAGGGATAGAATGACCATGGCCAGCCCTTTCCCATGGTGCCCAGAAAGAAGTAGAAGGCGGATCTCACTGGTTTTGAGGTCAAACACATACCCACTTGGAAAAGAGTGTGCAGGATGGTTCTTAAGGGGAAAACAAAACAAAACAGTGATTATCTCCATTTCTTCACCTGGGACAATCTTCCCCACAAACCCCTCACACTGCTTGGGTTCACTACATTCTCCCAGTGTCCTGGATACCTCTTTGTAGCGTTTGCTGTTCATCAGGAAGATGATCATGAGGAGCTGGAGATAGGCTTCCACTTCAGGCAGGAGAGGGGCTGATGCGGCTTTTCCTGTGCGGGGCCGGAACTGTAAATCAGCCTCTGTGTCCATGGGCTGGGAGAGGARAAAGTTACCATGGAAGAGCTCAATCAGATCAATCAACTGAGAATTTATTGAGCACCCACAATGTGTTTCAACATGTTTCCTGAATACCTTTTATGTTCCAAGGTTTTGCTAGGCATTAGAGATTAAAAATAAAATAAAAAAGACAGTTTTTCCACTGGGTATGGTAGCACACACCTGTAATCCCAGCTCGGGAGGCTGAGGCAGGAGGATCGAGAGTTCAAAGCCAGCCTCAGCAATGGCAAGGTGCTAAGCAACTCAGTGAGACCCTGTCTCTAAATAAAATACAAAATAGGGCTAAGGATGTGGCTCAGTGGTTGAGTGCCCCCAAGTTCAATTCCCAGTACCAGGAAAAAAACAAAGACAGTTTTTCCTGAGGGAGTCAAGGAGGCTGGCTATATGATAAATACAAAAAAGAGGTAGAGGGGGCTGGGGTTGTGGYTCAATGGTAAAGCGCTTGCCTAGCATTTGTTAGGCACTGGGTTCGATCCCTGGCACCACATAAAGATTAAAACCAAATAACATAAAGGTATTGTGTCCATCTACAACTAAAAAAAAAAAAAAAAGAACAATGTGAGGAATCCTCAAAGAGACTAATCTAAGTAGAGATTAAAACACTATGCTGGGGATGTGGCTCAAGCAGTAGGCCCTTGCCTGGCATGCATGGGGTGCTGGGTTTGATCCTCAGCACCACATAAAAATAAAATAAAGATGCTGTGTCCACCGAAAACTAAAAAATAAATATTAAAAAATTCAAAATAAATAAATAAATAAAACACTACACCTGGAACCATTGTAAATCCTACCAGACAGGGCTTAATGAGTGATATAATTCTAAAGATGAACTCAAGAATAATGACATAAGCGGAGAACAATGAAACATGCCTGTAATCCMAACTACTCAGGAGGCTGAGGCAGGAGAATGCAAGATCAAAGCCAACCTGAGCAACTTAGGGAGACTGTCTCAAAAAAATAAAAAGGGCTGGGCAAGCAGTTCTAGGGAGCCTCTTATTAAAGGGCAGCATATACAATCACTTCTTTTGCCCTAATATAGTTAAGCAAAATTTATAGATTCAATACACTCATTTTCAAACATAACCATGAGATAAGGAAAAATACAGACAGATAAAGGATACTAGAAAGAGGAGAAAGAAAAAAACAAAAACAAAGTAAAAAAAAAAAAAAAATCAGTATTAAAAAAGAGTTGGGGGTATAGCTCAGTGGTAGAGGGCCCCTGGGTTCAATCCCCAGTATGGCAAGGAGGGAAAAAGAGGCAAAATGAGACTAAGAAAAAGTTGTGGGGTTTTTTGGAGAGGGAACAAAGGAAATAACGTTGACATATATATGTAATACTTATTTTTGATCTAGTCACTGACATTTTTGATCTAGTCACTGACACTGAAAGACATAATGTGTTAAGTCAGCCCCAAAATTAATCACATGTGGTGACTTTAGAGATGTGAAGGTTAAAACCATCTAAAGTGGGGTTGGGGAGGGTGTGCTTTCCTCCTTTCCCAGATAATAAACTCTTCATTGTTCTGCCTCCAGGGATTTTCACATCTATAGACTGTTGAGTGCACAGGATTTTAGGGAGATGCCAGTGGCTGGAAAGTCTGAGAGGTTTGGGAAGGCTAAGATCTGGACTGTACCATGAATGAAGAGGGAATTCCATAACTACAAAGGAGAGGTCTCTCCTGCCATGGAGAACACAGCCACTCATTAAACAGACCTCATCAGCATCCATGATATGCCAGGCTCTGTTCTAAGAGCTTTCTGTACTAGCTCCACCCTACCTCTAATCTATTCATCACATCTAACAAATGAAGAAGATAAGGTAAAGGGAGATTAAGTCACCGTCCAAGTCCCATAGGTACTAAATAGTTTGGATTTCAATTCAAATATGAGTTTAACTGTTAGGGAAGTTTACTAAGGGCAGGTAGGACAACAGAAACCCTTTGTATACTCTTTAAACTAAGGGAACAGGTAATCTGTATTATTCATGCAACCTTTACACAGTGGCCCTCTACCACTGAGCTATACCTCAACTCTTTTTGAATACTGATTTTTTTTTTTTTTTTGCTGTGTTTTTGTTTTTTTCTTTCTAAATCAGGGATTCCCTGATTTAGAAGAATGACACCATACAAGAGAAGGATAGATCCCTTGCTATTGGGCAAGTAAGTGTTAAATATGCTGCTCTGGTTTCACTCCTGATGCCACAAAAGGTTGTAAGAGAGGTCTTCAATTCTATACTGGAGGTCTGAGGCCAAGTCCACACCTTTTAAGCTCAACTGACCCACTCACCTCTTCTAGGAAGGATAGTAAGAAGTCTCGAGTGGCATTATTAGAGGTGAAGAAGCCATGCACAGCTTTATACAGAACATAGTGGTTGAGGCGGCGTGATGTGGAAGGTAGCATCCTCAGGGCCCGCAGGACAAATCTTGGCTCCTTGCCTGAAACGGCCTTCTCCAGCTGTTTCACATGCTCTTTGATGTCTGTAAAAGAGAAGAAAAAGACGTTACTTCTAACTCCTCTTATTCTATCACCACTYTGGGCAAGCAGTTCTAGGGAGCTTCTAGGGCAGAATATGCAATCACTTCTTTTGCCCTAATATGGTTAAGCAATATTTATAGATTTATACACTTTTTTTCAGACGTAACCAAGAGACAAGGAAAAATATATAGACGGGCAGAGGATGACAGAATGAGAAGAAAGAAAAAAACAGAAAAAAAGCAAAAAAAAAAAAAAAAAGAGGAAATTTATTAGATTTCAAAAATATAGGAAACTTTCTAACTGTGAACAATGTGACAAATACACATGTATATTCGTGCAATGGAAGAACCTGATTTTGCAAAAAAGCCTTTTGAATAATTGTGTAAACAAAAAAAATATTACCAGAAAATGTAACCAAAGATCCATATTTTTTTCTATAAAAAGCTTATATAAATAGTTTAGAGAAACTCTACTGCCATAATTTCAAAATAAAAATGGTCATAAACCAGAAGAGGAAAGGCAATTAGCAAACAGTCACACAAAATATATTTGGCTAGGATTTGAATAATTGCAAATGTTAATATTACCAAATTAGCAATATTTAAAAAATGAAAACACATTGTAGCATAAAAAATATTTCTGCTGGGCTGGGATTGTGGCTCAGTGGAAGAGTGCTTGCTTAGCACATGTGAGGCACTGGGTTCAATCCTCAGCACCACATAAAAATAAAGATATTGTGTCCATATACAACTAAAAAAAATATTTCTGCGAGTATAATGTAAATCAGCAGTTTTTCTAGACAGTATCAAAAACTTTACTTGGGCATGTAGATTCTGGGAACCTATACTTAAAAAAATAAACCCCCCCCCCCAATACTGGGGATCAGACACAGGACCTTGCTCATGTACCCAGCACAAGAAATAATTATAAGAATAGATTTAAAAACTTGGGCACACAAGGCATGGTGAGGCATACCCAGTGGCTTGGAAGGCTAAGGCAGGAGGATCTTAGTTCAAAGCCAGCCTCAGCAAATCAGCAAGACCCTGTCTCAAAATAGAAAAGGGCTGAGGATGTGGCTCAGTGGTTAAGCATTCCTGGGTTCAATTCCTGGTACCAAAACAAAACCAAAAACACCTGGACACAAAGAGGAACAAAGCTATTTATAAAAGAATGAAACTAAAAATACTTTTATTTCTTTGGATCTGGGAATTGAACTTAAGGCCTTGTGCAGGCTAAGCAAGCACTTTACCACTAAGCTATACCTTCAAATCCTACAAATATTTCAGATGTGCAATGTGACAGTTTTTAGTCACCTTTGAATATTCGGTAATTAGCACAGGGTATATGGGACACATTATCGATATACTAACATTTAAAAGGTTCTATCCCTTTCACCTATACAAATGAGGAAACTAATTCCAGAGCTTGTACTCTTAACCAATATACTAGGTATTTGATATGTGTTTCTGGAATAAATTGAATGTTATCTTTATAGATGTTAAATGAAAAAAGAAAAAAGTAGGAAATTATTTGTACTTAGTTACATCTTGACCCAAATTGTATATCTCAATTATGGGAGACTAGATCAAAAATTCATAGGAAAAAAAAAAAAGATAACTATGGTTGGATTTTTTTCCCCTGTTAATTTAGACTTTTTATATTTCCCAAAATTGATGAACAAAAACTACTTTAAAACAAGAAAATCAAAGTGTTGCCAGGCACAGTGGTGCAGGACTGTAATCCCAGCAGCTTGGGAGGCTGAGGCAGGAAGATCTTGAGTTCAAAGCCAATCTCAGCAAAAGCCAGGTCCTTAGCAACTAAGTGAGATCCTGTCTTTTAAATACAAAATAGGGCTGGGGATGTGGCTCAATAGTCAAGTGTCCCCAAGTTCAATCCCTGGTACTCCCCACCCCTCCAAAAAAAAAGAAAATGAAAGTGTTCATAACACATGTGGGGCTGGGGCTGTAACTCAGTGGTAGAGTGCWTGCCTAGCATGCATGAAGCACTAGGTTTGATCCTCAGCACCACATAAAAATAAACAAAATAAAGGCATTCTGTCCATCTACAACTACAAAAAAAAAAAAAAGGAAAAAAATAAACACATGTATCTATTACCCCACAGGTAATGCTGAATGGCACCTTTGCTACTAGCTATCGTTTTAGATAAAAGGACCTTCTATGATCTTGTTGCCCAACTTCAGAGCAGGAGCTGATGCAGTCAACACTATCAAATCCTCAAAAGCATCACCCAGGAGCATAGCTTTACTTATCCCAATGCTTTAAAGTAGTTTCTCATGCAGTTAAATAAGTAGTTTGGTCCCACTTGATCCAGAAGCCAGAAAATAGAATCAGGGTCACATGGGAAGTCTCTCTCTACCCATTCCAAATGTGCACAGGATGTTCTACATGGGAAATGCAAAACTGATGCTTAGAGGAAAAAGAGAATGGGAAATGGCACCCAGGAGGAAAGAAATGGGTACTGGACAGAATGGTACTGGTATATAGTAGTTGAGGTCAAAGTGATAATTAGGAACTCAAAAACGCCAAAATTTCAAACAAAGTTGAAAGTGTGTATGTGTTTAAATACTTAGGATATCAAGAGGGAGTAATGATCTGAAAGGAGAGGAGATCGTTTGGGCACTTCAACTATAGACATAAGTAAACAATAAAATAGGTTTAAATGGCACTGTTAGGGAAGTTTACTAAGGGCAGGTAGACAACAGAAACCCTTTGTACACTCTTTAAACTAAGGGAACATGTAATCTATATTATTCATGCACCTTTTACACAAGTTTACACATGCACACACAATGGATTCTACAGAGGTAAGTCATATGGTGGGGGTGCAAGAATCATTTGGATAGGATGTAAATGGAGTAGGTCAGAAGAGTGTCAGGGTAGTGGGGGCAGGCACTCCCGACCCCAGGCCCAATGACAGAACCCAAGGAATCGAGGGTGGTGGAGGCTGCGCTGGTGTTCCAGGGAGAATCCACATCACTCGGGTCGCTGTCACCCTTGATTTGGTACTTCCCCGACCCGGGCGCCCGTACCCTCCAAGGTGACGGTGTCCAGTTCTCGCTGGGAGTGTTCAGCCGCTGCCGCCACCGTCTTGCCGTCGGCCTCCCCGGTTGACCCGCTACCCGTCGCTGCCTCTTCTTTCATCTCCACATCCTGGGGGGCCGGGGGCTGTGGTGGTTCTTGTTCTCCTCCACCGGGCGGCGGCTTTGCCTTGTCCGCGCCACGGCGCCGCGCCGAGCCCTCCTGTTTCATGGCGCTCGGAGTCGCGGCCTAGTCCGGGGACCGAGGCCGGGGCCTCGCGTGAATCCTGGTACCAGGGACCAGGAACCGAGCCGGGCCTGTACACAAGCGCGGGCTCGCGTTGGGCCGCACGATGACGGAGCAGCTGCAAACCCCTTCCCGGCGCTGGGTCTTCTGGGAAACGCCAGGCCCCGTGGGTTGATGGCCGAGTCAATTAAGGGGAAAGAAATCAACAGCCGAAGTGCAGGATGAAGGCGGATCTTGGAGGAAGGACGGGGAGGAGCCTGTATGAGTTTGTGGGGCTTTCTTTGAAGTGCTTAAATGTGTTGATTTTAACTTCTCCTGGAGTGCATTTCTGTGGGTGTCCACGAGAGGTCCCCTCAGACTCCAACCTGGACTCCAACGGACTCTTAAGAGTACCCCACTGGAATGGAGTGGGTAGGGCCTATCCGAGCGTGGAGCGAGATGACGTCACAAGTTGCCGGGCGGGTGTTGCGTCCAGGCTCCAGCAATTTGCTGGGTCTCGAGTGGCCACTGGGATCCGCCGGGCTAGTGCTCAACGGCCGCCCGGTGCCTCCAGCGCGAGGCAAGAAAAGAAGGCTGCGGAGGAGGGCTAGGCTGTTGGGGTTTAAACAAACGGAATTGGGGAGTAGGAAGAAACCCATGGATCCGGACTTCCTTGTCAGATTGTAGTTTACTGCTTTCTCTGCAGCCTAGCCCGGCGGTGGCAGGCACACACGCCTATAATCCCAGGGACTCGGGAGCCTGAGGCAGGAGGATCTCATATTCAAGTCCCACCTGGGCAATTTAGCGAGACCCTGTCCCAAAATTTAAAAACAGAGGGCTGGGGATGTAACTTAGTGGTAAAGTGCTCCTGGGTTCTATCAATCCCCAGTACACCTCCACCCTCCCCAACCCTCCCTCACCAAATCTCTGCAGCCTGGGAGTGTGAATGGGGGAGAGTGTGTTTGCGTAGAAYCACTGCAGTTTAATAAAAGATAGGGGTCCACTCTCTGTATGGATGAAAGTTAGCAGAAGGCATGGGTGGGGGTGTGGAAAACTGCTCAAGAATTTAGTACAGTAGCAGGGAGGGGTGGGGAAAGGTGTCCGAAGGTAAGATAGTGGACAGTCTGCTCTGGCCTGCAGCAGATTGTAAGGGTGGAAAGTCCCCCTGGTAGAGGCTTTAGGGAACCTGTTGAGGGGCCTTAAATTGGACCAGAAAGAAACCCTGCCCATTTACATTTGAAAGAACTCCTCCAGTGATTCTGTAGGGTAGGAGGATACTGGTTCCAGTTTCTTAAGATACAATACAGTAATTTCCCATCTTGGAACCTTGATTTCTTCCATAAATGGAAGTTCTAAGTTTTAGACCTTGGATGGACCCTTCACACAATCTAGCCCTGTTGCAAGAACCTAGAGGCAGAGGATATGTTTTGACTATATTCTGGTTCGTATTCATATGAATATATGTGATGTGTTTTTKTTTTTTTTTTGTAGGTGGACACATCCTTTATTTTTATGTAGTGCTGAGAATCGAACCCAGGTCCTACCCTTGCTAGGCGAGCGCTCTACCACTTAGCCACAATCCCAGCCCTTATATGTGATATCTTAACATACCTTTTGTATTCTTCCTTTCATACTATTCCTGCAAATAATTGCCTGCATTAAACAGCCACTTTGCTAAATGAAAAAGGTGTGTGCTCCAGTTTTAAAGAACATGTTTTGACCAAGTCCTTCCTGTCCTCTCACCTCCCAGGGCTAGAGTTTGGATAACATTCTTTTGAATCATCACTGGAGTAAACACATTAAAGTGTCTTCTTCACAACACCATATCTGTAGCTGAGGTGGATGAGAATGATAAAGGCAGAACACAGACTTGCTGTGTTGTTCATCCTTACAATCCAAGTTACCCTTCTGGATAGTTAAGATATTAACTCACCTGTCTATTAAGTTTACATCACAAAGGAAAAATAACCAAGTCAGCAGATAACAACCCAAGATGTCCATGAGCAATTAGTGAGGCTTTGGAAGATGCCCAGAAATGGGAGGTGGCTTAACACAAAGCTTTTGGCAGTTGGTCACGAATTCTTGGTGAGTGAGGGAATTAGCCTGGGCAAGTGCTAGCTAAGAAGGGGAAGAGTTTGATTCCTAGGGTCGAAAGCCTTGGAGAGATTATCCCTCCCATAAAACTACTTCAAAAGAGGTTGGTGGAGCTGGGCACAGTGGTACACACTTGTAATTCCAGCGACTCTGGAGGCTGATGCACGAGGATCACAAGTTCAAAGACAGCCTCAGCAAATTAGCAAGGTCCTAAGCAATTTAGCAAGATCCTGCCTCAAGATAAAAAAGCTGGAGATGTGCTCAGTGGTTAAGCACCTCTGGGTTCAATCCCAAGCACCGAGGGTGGGAGTGGGAGTGGGGGTGGGAAGGATTGGTGGAAGATGTTCAAGCCCAGTTTTAGACAGAGAAGAATGTAAACATAGAAGTTTAATGAGAGTGCAATACACATATTAGCAGGTCAATAGGTCAAACCTATCCACACTGCTTTCTCCCATAATCACCCTGAAATAAAGATAGAAAGCTGAAAGAAGAAAATAATACAATTTTKGGGTGGGTGCTGGGGATTTTTTGGGTACTAGGGATTGACCCCTGGGGCACTTAACCACTAAGCAACATTCTCAGCCCTTTTTAAAAATTTATTTTGAGACAGGGTTTCTCTGAGTTGCTTAGGGTCTCACTAAGTTGCTGAGGCTGGCCTTGAACCTGTGTTACTCCTATCTCATTCTCCCGAGTTGCTGGGATTATAGGTATGCACCATCATGCCTGGTGGAGATAACACAATTAAAAAAAAAAAAGTTTTGGGTCAATCTCATTTTTGGGTTTCATTTTTAAAGATTCATCTGCATTTTCTAATCAACAAACTTGAAAGTTTTCTTCTTGTGTGCTTGTACTAGCTCTATTTTTTCCCACCCCTAATCCCTCAACCTGGGGCTAGAGGACTCCAAATGTTTTTATTTGAAGACAAGATGCCTTGATGATCTTGTCATTCTACATTCCACTTTCTATACCCTTATAAATGTTCTCTAAGCATTTTCCAACTGACCTGAGGACAGTAGAGTAGTATCTTGTACATATGATTCATAGGTAGTAGGTTAATCTTTCTTTCTTTCTTTTTTTTTTTTTTGCATAAATAATTTCCTTATGACAAATTGTGTTTTATTTATTTTTATTGGAACTTTATTGTTGTACATAGCTGTTTGGTTCATCCCATGACAAATTCTTTAAAGAAAAACACCAAAAGACACATTATCCTAATTTCCTCTAATTCCTATAAAGCTTGTTTTTTTCTAAGCACAAGTAGGAGAGATTAGGATAGGAAACTAATTTATCTTTTTTTTTTTTCAGTTTTGCTGAAATGGCTCATAGTTTAAAGGTTGAGTGCTTCTATTTCTACAGGATTTAGGCATTAGCAGACTGGCTTAGTGGGTTGTGGAGGTAGCGGGCGAGATACAAAGTGGGGCAGGTAGAACTTGGTTATCATGGGTGATCAACTAGGATTYTAGTCCTCTTTGTCCTGGTAGTTCTGAAATGCCTTTGGGTATTAAGGACACAGCACTGTGAGTCTGGGCAGGCATCGGGGAGCAGGGGGCAGACAGAAGTCTCATTAGGAAGCCTTGGTCAGCAGGTGAAGGAGGGAGAGACCAGCATAAAGGGCACAAAGGTGGGGGAGTGCATCTGGATCCCAAGTGTATTGGGGGCCTGATCGCTGCACTTCCAGGCCACTCAGCCCCACTAGAGCTTCTGTGAGGGTCAGTTCCTCTTCACCAAGGGAGGAGAGCAACTCAGGTTGCAGGGGGAAWATGCCCTCTTTATCCTGCAGAAAATTCTGTTCCATCATGCTCTCCACCTGCAAGAACCAAACAAAATATCATGGAAAGGAAGATCTAGAAGGCTCTCTTCTTCCCGACTTTGTAAAAAACCATAAGGTTATATTCCCCTTATCATAACTCCTTATCTTACACATTACAGCTCCATGTGGGTCTTTTAACAGCCCTATACAATCAGCAGTACATTTATTTTTTGGCCCCATTTTACTGAGGAATAAATTGAGATAGACTCAGAGACATTTAAAGACTTGCTTACATCACTCAGGAATAAGCAAAGCCAGTTTTCTGTCTCCCAAGAACAGGCTGATGAACCCAGAGTATGGCCAGAAATTCGCCCTTCCCCTTGTTGTGAAATAACAAAAAGGAAGAAACATGGAAAGAGAAGTGAGCATGAGCTCTTGAAATAAGGGAGAGGCCTTCCAGACTCTTCTGTCTAAATCTATACCTTTCCATTGGTTCTAGCTACTTCCTCCTGAACTCTGCCTGACACGCTGTGTGTGTGTGTGTGTGTGTGTGTGTGTGTGTGTGTGTGTATTTCTCACCAGCTTAAGCTGCACTGGTAGGATCTTTTTCTCCATGGACTTTACCAAAAGCTTCTGTTGGGCTTCACTCAGCACTGGAGAAAAAAAAAAAAAAAAAGCAGAGAAAGAGATGTATGTTGTTGGTGCAGAGAGGATAGCAGACTCCAAATAGTATACTTCTGGAACTCAGGCACGCATTGATTGATTAATTCATTCCTTCATTCATGGTTGAATGCCTGCACTAGGCTAGGCTTCTCTGCCAGGTGTTATGTAAAAATCATACTCCCTTCACCTTCACTCAAGGAAATTGCAGTCTTATAGAGAAGACAAAGAAACTGTAGTGGAATTACAGTTTGGGGTGTTAAGGGAGCCATGGCTGAGGGGTCTACTTTGGTTCTGGCTTTTGAAGGCAGCCTTCTTATGGGAACAAACACCTCATCTTATACCTAAAGGACAAGAGAGTTTTTCTTCTTCCTTGTTTCCTCCCCTTCTTTGCCACCCATCWCCTGACTCTAACCACCAGAGTTTTCTAAGTGGGGGGATGTTTCATGTAGAGGGAAGGAGAGAATGTAGGGACAAGATTATAGGATGTTACTCTCAGAAATGAAAGCTAACAGATATCAGTATAGAAGTTTGTGAGCTTAGCTATGTGCAGAAGGTTTATATATGTAGTTGAAAAAAGTGGGCTTAATTCCCAAATCTATAAGAAAGACTGCCTTCTCAGGTTATCCAAAGAGATCAAGTGAGCCAGATGTGGTGGCTTGGGAAGTTGAGGCAGGAGGATCGGGAGTTCAAAGTCAG